ACACATCACTACTTGATATCAAAAATATACTTCACATACTTAAGAGCTATACGGAGGTCAGCGCCAAATGCATTGGCGCTGACCCTACGCTACGTCGGCAATCCGATCAACTGTTGATCCACGTGGGCAAGGGTTCAGCGTCAACGGAATTGGCGCTGAACCCACGGCCTATTTTTGGTTGAAGTTTTTGACGAGGATTAGTTTCAAAATAAATTTTTTAAAAGGACCAAATTATCAAAAAAAAAAAAAGAAAAACGGGAGTAGTACTAGGTTAAACACATGTACAGCTACACGTGTTCTGTGCTCGGCCATGTGCGGCATCTCGCTTGGATTTCCTGGCGCGCGGGGTCGCGGCAGCGGGCAGAAGGTGACGCCTCGCTGTTGGGTCCGGGGCGCGGTGGGCCGCCGCTGGTCCATTTGCGCCATTTGGTGAGGGGTGACGGTACGGCGGCGCACTGTGAGCCGCTGGGCCGAGGATTCGACGCGCGGTTGACCTCGCAACAGGGGAGGCCTCGGCTGGAGCAAAAGCTACGTACCACTCGTACTCCACCACCTACCCTATCTATCCCAAATAAACCAAATTAATATAGAATGTGACTCATTTTATTATTATCAATTTAATTTTTTCTAAATTCGTAAATGTTAGTATGTACTATATCCGACGGACTACCTTATCTATACATTATATAAAGTTATAACCCACTAAGTCTAAAGCTCAACATACAACCATGTCACATCATCACCCACTAGCAATAATTGCATGCAAGCATACAACATCATCTATAATATATTTAATTCTACAAATCAACATACAAGCATATTAAATCATCACCCTTACATCATTTGCATAATATTTTAACAAATCCATCTATCATTTTTATGGTATTTAACATAAACTTATCAATATGTTGAAAAAATATAGGCAGCATTGCTTAGTAATCCCGTAGCAAAACGCGGGGAATCACCTAGTTTTCAAAATAAAGATGTTTCTACATCAACATCTCCTCTTTGTTGGAGTTAAGATATTAACTTTAGCCTATAAACTAATCACTCTTAAATTACAAAATAAATTCTCTGATATGTCGGATTTGAAGCCATTGAGTCTTCTTGCCTTTCTTCTTCTTCTTCTTCTTCTTTCTATTTCTCTTCTCTCTTCCTCGCTAGATCACGCCAGCCATCGGGTTTCCACCAGCACTGTCCTAAGACAGCCGAACGAACCCCTTCTACCACTTAAGACAATCGGTCGCGAATAAGGGTTTTAGATTAGATAGCGCAAGAGTTGAGCGTCTTCTCCTCCTGCAATTGGTTTTCTTTTATAGCACTGTTGGGGTCCGATAGCTTATCTCGAATTTAGGAATCAAGAGTTGTTTTAACCAATCACAAAACAACATGTACAGATTTGTTGTCCTAGGATGGGTCAAATCATAGGTAGCAATATTTTGAGATGGAGGAAATATCTTCTTATTTGGTTCGGGTTGTGGGCTCATCCGAAAAATCAACCAACACTCTTAACCAATCACAACCATTGTTCATTTAATTTTTTTACCTATTTTTTCTCTTATGAACCAATAAGAACTTTTCTCCTATCATTTTAACATACTTTTTTAATATTTATATTTTAGGCTAGAGATAATAGTATATTAGTATACAGTACTAGATATTAAGTTGATTTATTCTGATAAGGGCATAAGGCCATCGCTCGTTGGCTGCGAAGATCCACGCGAATCGGACGACGATAGGGACGGCCTCGTACCCTCGTACGTACCGCCGGCCTGTGCATGTGACGTGCAGGGGAGAGCCCGTCGATGTGGAGACATTCTGGGCGCGGGTTTCGTTCGATTTATAGCTGAGACATCAATTGTTTTCGGGCCGGCCGGTGTGTCGTGTCTCCCCTGTGCGTGCGTCGCGGAGTTCCGGGACACCGTACACCATTATTGCGTCCATTTGTCACGAGGGCACACTGTTTGAAAAGCAGACGGCACCAGAGACACAGAGAGAGAGAGAGAGAGAGAGAGAGAGTACTGCCAGCGACAAAGCTGGAGCATCTTGTGATATCTACGGCCTCGAGCCCTATTTGTTCTTATTTTGTGTAATAGTACTATATATATATAACTTCACCTGCATATATATGGAGTATGCTCTATACTTACGTGGTAAACGTACGAGTACGTATAATTTGTACGGCATCATTTGAAACTTTGGAAAATTTTGGAGAACAACATGGGGACGCCCGGACGGGGGGGTTGAGTTGTCACCATTCCACACGTACGATGGATGGATGGTGAAGTTCTCTTCCCAGCTACTTTCTCCGTCTCAAAAAAATAAATCTAAAATTGAATGTGACACATTATAATATAATGAATCTGGACAAAGATATGTCCAGATTCGTAGTACTAGGTTGATTTTTTATAGGACGGAGAGAGTAGGCAGCTAGTTGTTGGTGATAAATTAATTTCTTTTCGTTATTGAGGAAATGTCAAAATACGTAATAATCATCTAAAGTGGAGTGAAATTGGACAACGCCGGTTTGACTTAAAGCTTCGATGCCTTAAGCTGTGTTTAGTTCGTGTGCTAAATCTTTTTTAAGTATATGGATAAACATTCGAAGTATTAAAAGTAAATTAATAACAAAACAAATTACAGATTCCGCCTATAAATTGAGAAACGAATCTATTAAGCCTAATTAATCCGTTATTACCAAATATTTACTGTAGCACCACATTGTCAAATCATGGCGTAATTAGGCTCAAAAAATTCGTCTCGCGATTTACATGTAAACTGTGCAATTGGTTTTTTTTCCGTCCACATTTAATGCTTCGTGCATATGTCCAAACATTTGATGTGACGAAAAAGTTAGAAGTTTGAAGAAAAAAATGTTTAAATCTAAAGACGGTCTTAGTTTGTGTGTGTGTGTGTGTGAAGGGAATGCCTTAGATGTGTCTAGCATTAATTTCAACCTCAAGCCTGACCTGCTGCAGTTTATTTTGCGCATAGAATCACCACTCAATTCAGTGGACACGACACAATAGTGCTTGATTCTTTTAGCCTTCTTTTTTTTTAAAAAAGGATACTTTTAACCTGAAAAAAATATCAGAGCAGAAAAGGGCACAATAAAAATCAAGCTTGTAGTTGGGGGCGGGTAACCTTCAATTCTCGCGTGCATGGCTAGCCTGAGACCAGCCCATATCAAATTCGTAATGGGCTAAATCCATTCTTAAATGCTGTCCTAGATGGGCCCAGTCTGGCCTAACTCCTCGAAGGAATAAGCTCACTAGAGGTCCCTCAACTTTACAGCGAGATTTTTTGAGGTCCCTTAACCATAAACCAGGTCCTATGGCAATATATATGTGTGGTTTCGCTGACGTGACATCCTAGTCAGAAAAAAAATAATAAAAAAAATACATGGGGCCCACATTCCAGCCCCATCATCCTTCTTCTCTTTCCTTCCCCAGCCTGGGAGAGAGGGAAGGCAGCCCGATGCCAGTGGGAGAAGGGGTGGCCGGCGCGGGAAAGGGAGGGGGAGGCGGTAGACGTAGCCGGCGGGAGAAGGGAAGAGACGGCCGGCCGCGTCGGCGGGAGAGGGAGGAGAGATGGCCAATGGCCGCCGTTCTAGCTTGCGGAGAAGCGCGCCCCGCGACCACCCATGCTGCCGTGTTTTGGGAGCCGTCGGACGTGTCGTTGTCGGTGGGGTGCGGCGCCGAGTTCCTACCCGCGTGCGGCTGCGACTCGGTGCCAACCGGCTCGCCGGCCTCCTCTTTCCCCTCTCCCACCGGCACAGCCGGCTGCCGTGGTTTCCTCCTACTCCACGGCAACAGCGGGGGCCTCCTCCACCGTGGCAACCGCAGGTTGAGAAAAGAAGCAAGGAGAGAAGAGAAAGAGATGAAAGAAAGAAAGAAAGAAAAAGAATAGATGTGGGACCCATGTCATTTTCTCTCACTTATATGTGGATCCTACATACTTTTTTTAAAAAACTTGTTTGCTGACTAGGATGCCACATCAGCGAAACTGGACATCTATACTGCTATGGGAGCTAAATTGCATGATTTTATATAGTTTAGGGGTGAAGATTTCTAGTATTAATGATTAGGGATGCCAAACAAACTCGGTATAAAGTTGAGGAACAGTAGGTGAACTTATTCCCTCCTCAAATGCGTACTAGGCCTGAGACAGTTGGGTCGAATATCGATCTCCCTGAAGAGAAGACTGAGGCAGGCGTAGAGAGGGTTATACGCAAGCTCCTTCGAAGGTGTAAACTAGGTGTCAGGTGAGCTTACAAACTGCAAGTATTGAAGATGTAAAGTAGAGTAAAGTGTATTGTCGCTCGGTCACTTCCTAAACTTGTTTGGTCTCATCCAGATTCTTGAAATCTTAAAATGTATATTTTAGGTTCTCGAATTTATTAAATAGTATCATTTCGGTCCTAAATTATGACGACCCATTTAGGATCCTACTTGGTGTTTATGTGACGTGCCACATTGACACTAAAGTGATATGTCACAGAAATGTTATGGTCACAAATTTTCTTTTGCTTTCTCTCCATGTTTCCTTCTTTTTTCCCTCTTTTTTTCTACACCAACGGAAGGAAGAATATAAGAAATATGGGAGATTAAGGGGTTGTTGAGATTATAGCTAAAATAAACCTTATAAAATTTTGACAATGTTACTAAAATTTTTGCAAGATTTTCTATGTATTTACTAAATTTTGATAGCAAACTAAATATAGTCACTTTTTTTTATAACTTTGTCCAAAAATAATATCGTTGAAAATATCATCAATCTAAATATGCTCGAGACAATAAGTCAATGACCGCATGGTATGTCAAATGAGCACAATATAGGATTCCGAAGGAAACATGATAGTAATTTGAAACTGAAATGGAACACTTTAACAAGTTAAGAGATTTGAAAATATATTTTGAGAGTCTGAAAATCTGGATGATACAACGAACAATTTTAGGACTGGTAGGGCACGTTACTCTAGACAAAGTAGACATATACTCCGTAACTCGTCAGTCACTCGTTCGTTGTGTTCGATGGGCTCACGCCTCCCCCGCGATCCTCCGCCCGTCCGCCGCCGGCCGGCCGCCGCATGTGCCATGACCTCGCAGCGCCGTCCTGGTGCACGGCATTTTTCCTGCACACGCAGTGTGGAAATCCAATCCAATCCAATCCAATCCAATCCAATCTCCGCTGACATCTCCCCACCCCACGCCCACACACCCACGCTCTCCGTAGCATGACACCAAGAACGGCGGCGGCGCTGTCAGGTCGTCTACTCCGCGGCAAGAAGGCAGTGAACCTCGCACCAGAGCAGGTCCCGAAGCTGCTAGCTACGCTCGCGTCACCTGCACGGCTTGAGGAGGATGGCGCTCGTCTCCGTCATCCTCCCGCGCCCGCCACCCGTTCGAGAAAATTCCTCGCCGGGATGACGAGGTGGGCGCCATCCGCGTGCTCTTCGACTATATGCGCCGCGCGGGATGGTCTCTCGGAGGTACTGTGGATCAGTTCTCTGCCGCGCGACGCGGCGGCGTGCCCGTTGACGGCGCCACGGTGTCCTGTGTTCTCAAGGTTTGTGGGTTCGGTGCCGGACAGAGTTCTTGGGTAGCAGCTGCATTGCCTGTGCGTCGAATGTGGGCATGATCGAGGTGAGGTCAGTGTCGGTACGTCGCTTGTACATGAAGTGCTGCAGCGTCTGTGAGGGGAGGGAGGTGTTTGAAGGGATGCTTAAGAAGAATGTCGTCACGCGGACATGCTGACAAGTGCGTTGCTCACACAAATTGCATCATGGTATCACACAGAGATCAGTGTTAATACTAGAGCATTGGTTTGTTAGCATTGCCAGTGAAAGTCAGGTTGCCACAAGTGGTATAATTGCTTTGTGCAGAAACAGTAATAAGCTTGCTCTCATTACCTTCTCAAGTTTCGGCATGCTGGATTACAGGAATCTGCAGCTACATTGGACCACATAGATATAAAAGTTCTTTTCACTGGCTCTGTTATGCATTCATAATCCACAACAAGCAGTTTTACTTGTGTTTTAATACTGGAGTGGCTCAGCAATGCCTGTGTAAAGAACAAAACTGTCCTAATTTTTAATGTATCGGCAATTTGATGGCCTCAATAACAATATAGGGCATTGTAAACTGATGGACTATATTCAACAAGGACAGGTTTAAAAAATGCCATACAGTAGTCTCTGCAACATTTTGTTTGAGGTAAACAACTCATGAGAAATCACCTCCAGAAGCTCAACTTCACTGTAACTAGTCAGATCCAGGTAATCCACATTTTCTATCTGACTCAACCATTGCAATGGCAGTTTCTCCTGTAGGAGGCTTCAATTGTGCTTTTCTATAGCTGCTGTTGCCTCCAAACTATAGCTTTAAGTTGTCTAGAATAGTAGAATGCATGTGAGACATTTATAGTTAATATCCTCTTGGAAATAATTGGCATACTCAGTCCTTTAAGTTGAATGTACTCGTATATATAAATAAAAGGATAGAGTACATTGATAATCACATATTCAGCTGTATTAAAATTCTTTGACAAAACTCTTTGTACATATATTTTGATGCTCTTGTTTGCAGTAGAAACATTGTTTCTTCCGCTGTAGACTTCTTCCTTTTTATTATTTTTTGGTATCTTTTGCTTCAGGTTTACTTTGGAGGGTTGACAGGGGCAAGCAGGGAAAATTAGAGGTGAACATCATAAAGCTATTATTGATTACGGTATGATTCCTATTGTCCTATGTTCAAATATGTATCACCATGTTTGTTTCAATAATATGCTTAAATGTGCACATGTATACATATATGGACCATTTACAATCATTATTTGGGAAATTGGAGTTGGCCTAAACTTTGGCCTGGTGCACCTCCTATCCTATTTCCTCACACTTCAATATAATGCATATGCTACTGTCCAATTTTAAAAATACAAATTTGCAAAATTTAAGAAGCAGCAATGGCTAGAAAACAACTGAAAATTTCTCACATGAACTTGTCTGGTTCCAGGGGTAGGCCCTATTTCACCGATCCATGGTTACAGTATTTAATATACATGCTCTGTCATCACATCTGAATTTTCCAAAATAACATTTTCCATTGCCTGGAGCTTACTTTTCTTTATTAACCCATTAACAGTTGTGATCTTCCTGATTGTTTGCCAGTCCTAAACAGCACCACCAGTTTATTCACATAAAAGTTGTTCATAGTCATACTGAGTTTCAGTTTCCATTGTACTTGCAGCTGTCTCATCATCTGAACTCTCGCTTCATAGATCACACGCAATAAGATGCATTTGGTTTGATTAGTTTGAATGCCATATCCATAAAAACTTTGAGGAAGAGTTGAATCCAACTTACTTTATGGAGTAGATGATCAATCCAATGGCTACCACTGCAAAAGCTAGATAGTAGAGCCAATTAACCTGCGGTTGCACATAACAATGTTGATGCATTATACATCTAATTTACCCCGCACATATTCAGAACTGGAAAATTTTCACCTGCTGATGATAGAGGAAAACTCAAATGGCGACCGCCCAAACATCAGTTGTTAAAAGTGAGAGGTTAAACATAGTTGCTCCACTCATCTGCAAGAGTTGTGCTATCAGAAATTCAGAATGGCTAACTGAGACACTGTTAGATGACCATGGAAGCCTTTTTGAACTAGTAAATGGGGATGTGATATGTCCCAAGATGTCATTTTCATCACTAAAAAAATGTCTGAAGTCTGAACAACTTGTAGAAACTTAACCTTAAGAACGAAAGGAGCAATGGAGCTGAACACTAAAGATGCTACTGCAAATCCAATGAAGAGACCTATCTGGAACAAAGAGAAGGGTTGCGTTTTCATGCCGATCAAATCAATCAAATGCATGATTCATAAATAATTGTACGGTAGGTTATTAGTTTCTTACCATTGTTGGTGACCACCAATTAATTGTCTCTATATTCTTCCTCTCAAAAAGAGATCTAAGGTTTATTTATGTAGGGGAACATGAACTTTGCTTCATGAGATTGTTGATCCAGCAAAATTGTCATGACAATTAAACTAATGAAAAAAAAAACAAAAAATAGTCCTGCTCCTGCACCTATTCATGCCAATTTTAAGAAATGATATTTTGGTAAGGATACAGCTGAATTCCAGTGACAAGCATCCCAAATATTCCAAGCATCGCAACGAATTCAATCCTGTCTTTGTTCTTGACACAGTATTCCTGCACATTAAGGTAGAAGATTTTATTTTAAATCATGAGAAATTGGCACACATATTGGTGACATTTATATATTGACACCACTAACCTCCCCAACATTGCTAAATGCAAAACAAAATGTCGCCACAATGATAAGGGCATCCCCCAGAAGTGGTCTTTTACTTTCATCTGCAGGAATTTTTGTTACTCAACCTTTATTGTAGTAAACTTTGCTCTGGAAATCGGACACAACATTCCTTGCTCATAAGGATCATAATTTTTTTTGCCTCGTCACATCCTATATTGTTTTCTTGCCATTTCTTTTATGATCACATTACAGAAAACCACATGTAGTTCACATTCTGAGAAGCTAGAAGTACCTACTTACCCTGCACATCTGAATAATTTGAATCCGAGAGGAGTACCAGGGCAAGTCCAGTCATGCAAGTCCCTGCTCCTACAAATTGCCACAAAGAATATCTTGTGCCTAGTGCAAACCTGGTGAGGATCATGACCCATGTGATGGTCCAACAGTTCAACAAGTTTACGCTGGTGATATATGAGTAGTGATATGCCTTGATCGCTGAATCACAAGTTTTTAAATGATGATTATTCAGATAAGTGAAGCATTTACAGAAATTAAACACTTCTTTTGTACATATCTGCCATTTGGTGACAAAAGTTCAAACTTTATCATGCATAATGTACTTACCTAGACAATTTCCCTGGACATCAATGAAGGCCAGGGCGAGGTACCAATACCATGGCATCTGCAGGGCAGATAAACAGATCAGCGAGTTATGATTTATCATCTATGAATCATGTTAACAATTGAAAATTCATTCTTGTGTGCAACCATGCTTACTAGAAACTTGCGTTGTCGATGCAGGAGAACTGGTCCATAAACCAGGGCCAACAGAAGGTACGAAAGGAATGATTGCGTAAATGGTGCATCAGCTCCTGCAAATGAGGGTCAAGCTTTAGCTTTATAAAATGACTTTGTGATGGATTATAAACCGGTGAGAAGGATAGATTATTCAGTACCGAGGCTAGAAATCTGAGACGTGATAAAGCTGCATACTGCCATGGAGAAGGAGACTAGCTGCCCGAGGAACACTAGGAACATCATGCTCCACGGCGCGCTCTTGTTCTTCATGAGTCTGAGTACGGTTCAAGGAAATCCAAGGTTATAGTTGGTTCAGAAAAGCATGATATACCTTTGACCATGCTTCTTTGAAGAACACCTTTCACGTGCTTTCAGAGGAGGAAGGAAATGGTGAAGAACACCCTCTGGTATTATAGCCTTTCTACTTCTTCTGATCTTCTCAGCCCTCTGAGCTACGTCTTAATGAAAAATTGAAAATCCTTTGGTTTTAGGAGAAGAGAAGAGCAGGCGATGCTGCACTGGCAGGAGAAGCGTGCTGTGAACAGGGGGGAGAATGGAGTTTCGAGTGGTTGGTATATTACAAATGCTTTGATGTGGTATACTCCAAGGTTTTCTGTGCTCAGCAGGTCGGCAGCCGTCCAACTGGTAACCGCTCTACAGGCTAGAGGGATCCTAGGGCCATGCTTCCACAAACTAAGGACCTTTTTCGATGTTGGATCAGCCACAGGAGGAGGAGTACCCAGGTTAATCTCAAACGATCCTAAGCTACCGAACAGATGAAAGCTCACATTCTGACAAAACGCAGCACCTTTTCCCTCTGAAACAACACTTTGCAGATGTCTTTCTGATGCACCATGCTCTTGCTTGACGTACGTCGTAATGGCTATGGGTTTCATGCACGATAGCGGAATAAGATTCACATTGATTTTGCTGAATGGTGCCCCCAGGTATGTGGTTTTGCCTTTTTTATGGTTCCTTTGCCTGGATATTTTTTTTACATTTTAGTCCTTTTAAAAACTTATTTTATAAACTAATATATGAAAAGACTCATTCTAGTAATTGGTTCTTTTTCTCGGTGCCGAGAAAAGTGTTCATTCCTAAAATAAGTTTGTTTAGGGATCAAAATAAGTTTTAAAAATGCAAAAAATCCAGTCGGCTTGCGTGTGCCTTTATTTTTGTTATGCGTCAATTCCTATGTTTTGGCAAACAAGGACTCTTGACTCTTCTTGAGCCTTGTAGCGTCAGTGTCTATCAATGCAGTATCACGTTGTTCTCACCAAGGCCATGCTAACGTCAAATGTCTATCAAGGCATTCGAGGTTGCTAGCTGGATCGGCAAGGCTGTTGAGGCCACCGTATTTGTTGCTTCGTGACATGCGTGATAGCCAGCAAAGCATGGTTATCTTGCTGACACGTGTGCCAGCAACCAGCCTACAGGCATGGATGATGGCAATGATGTGGACGGCAGATAGGAAGAGTTTTAGCCGTGTGGATCCAAGATGGATTCAGTTTTAGACCCCATTGATTAAAAGGAAATTCATAGAAATTTTAAAGGATTTGATTCCTATAGAAGTTTTTTCTATATAGCCCTTTGAATTAAAGGAATGAATCATATGGAATCCTATGAAATTCCTATGGAATGCCTCTTCCCATGTAAATTTTGGAGGAAACTTAACATGAGGTTCTAGAATCCTTTGAGTCTTTATCTCTCTTCAAATTCCTATGTTTTTCCTGCGGCTCAATCAAACGGTCATTCCTATGATTTTCCTGTGTTTTGCAATCCTCTGTTTTACACCTGTATTTCTATCAGAATCCTATGTTTTTCCTATTCCTCCGTTTTTTCATTCCTATGATTCAAAGGGGCATTATTGTTGCATATTATCTGTAGGATAAATTAAATATTTTAAGAAAAATATGTAATAGCAATTTTAAAACAAGTGTTCCAACAATATAAGTAGAAGAAAAGTTTAGGACTTGGAGTTACGACGACCGGCCGTGAGTCGTCGTAACTCTGATACGCTGTATATGCTGGATCGGGGAGGAGCGCCCGTAATCAGTGCCCCGGAGATGTAGGCTATGGATGAACTCCGTTATCAAATATCGTGTCCCGGTGTCGTCATCGTGTTTGGATCTCCTATGGCGTTTCTTCCGCGTTTGGTTTCCGATATGATTTCGGGGCCGGTTTTATAACAAGTGGTATCAGAGCCCAAGGTTTGAAACCCGGAACATTTTCCATGGGTCACATGGTCGAAGCCCAGGAAACAAGTCTTCGGGGTCACATGGGTTAATGTGACGGGGAAGATTGTTGGGCCCGATATGTGACGGGGGAGATTGTTGGGTTTAGTCCCACATCGGTAATTGATGATGGGGGAGCACGGCTTAAAAGGTGGGGGCGGTCCTCACCCATCAGACTAGTCTTTTGGGTTGTGTAGGCTCAGGACCTAAATTTGTGGCTCCGGTTGGGTCTATGGTGGAGCAGGCCCAATGTGACCTGGGTGGCCCACAGTTGGTGGGCCGGGTGGCGCACACTAACATCACCTGTGTCGAGCGTCACGCTGGACTGGCCTATGGCCGCGGTGCAGGAGTTGAGGCGGACGGAGTCCGCTGGCAGTTGGTCCGCGAGCTGCGACGTGATGGCGCCGATGCCGGCCTCGGTAGCTCATTGTCCCCGAGGGCGAGGCGCTTGAACACGAGCTCGAAGAGGCGAGACAACGTGTCGAGCGCTGGGTCAAAGAATATCCGGCTAGCAACAGCCATAGGAATCGCTCCACGATGGACGGTGAGAATCCAAGCTTCTCCAGGTGCCACGGCGTGGTCGTCTCTGGCGACGACGGAGAGGATGACCTCGTCTCTCGCAGCACCTCGCCAGAGCCGTACGAGCTAGTAATTTCTCTCTCCACTGGTTTTAGATGGGGATCGAGTGGAGATTGAGCAAACAGGGGCAATCTTGTCAATTTTAAATTTCTCTCTCCACTCTTTTCTCAAGTATAATAAAATAATGTCTCGAGTGTCCAGTAGCTAATTACCACATTTTTATAGTATCCACAAGAAGATACACGTTTTTTGGATGTCTCACGGCAAATGCCACAAACTTTGAGTGTCCTGTAACAAATTTTGCCAAAAAACTTGATATGCTGACAATACGGCACGTGTATGCCAAAGTGTCTACCTTTAATTTTAAGTCACTTGAAAATACCCACAAATTTTAACTATTTTAAATGGCTGAGATCATATCAAGATTTGTGCAAGAATAGTGATCTTATCCTCTTTCCTCCCTCCTCCTTCCCATAACTCAAGCGAAACGACGATCCAGCGTCGCTGCCTCCCTTGGCCTCGCTGTCATCGACAAGCCTATTTGATTGGCCTCCTCCCTGCTTCTTCAGTCTTCACCCTCCTCCTCTCCAAGCTAGGTAGATTCCCCCTCCCTACCATCTTCCCCACTTTCCGCGCCCCGTGCTGCATCACACGTGCCCTTGTTCATCGTTCCACCACAAGGGCCCTAATAGAGACACCACCCTCTTCGCCCATGACCATCCCTCTAAGCCTAGAGACACCACCCTTCTTCGCCCTACCCAACACCATCCCCCATCCCAACCTTAACCCCAAATTCTAATATTTAGGTCCTCTACCAGAGTTAAGATATCTCTGACATAGGCAAAGAGTAGGAACTAGCCGTTGCTAGAAGAAGATAGTCGTTGTCATCATTGTCGAAAAGTTACCCCTCCTTCCTCCCTCCCCCCTCCTACCTTCCTCCCGGGGTTGAGGCATGAGATCTAGAATGGTTAGGATGTAGGAGTGATAGTGGTGTCTCCAGTGGCATAGGGAAGACTTGCGGGGTAGGGACATCTTGCTGTCATTTGGCTTTTCCGCAGTAGCACCCATTTTTCGTGTCACGTTGTTAGTCTACTGATACAACGGAAATTTTTTCATTTTTCTTCTTTTTTATAAATGCACACAAGTATACACTATATTTATGGATATGGGTAGAACCCATGACTCTACCATTGCACTAATGGTGCTTTCACATTGATCACACTACGAAAAAAAATATTGTGTGCTTTAAAGCATGGTACGTACTGCTAGCTCCATGTTGCAGATGTTAGGACCGAGCCATCCATTTGTACGAGTACAAGTGTATGACTCTATTAGGGCTCATTCGATTAATCCCCAAGAGGGAGGGATTCTTGGGGATTGAGAGGGATTAATTTCAATTTCAATAGGTGAGGAAGAAATCTTCTCCAAATCCCCCTCAATCCCATAGAGGGAGGGGTTAACCGAACAGCGCATTAGATAGATTGCCCTTAGCCTCTATTATATGAATTGACGAAGCAAATTACACCAATTGCTAGAAAACTCAGATAATTTTGGCAACTACTTTTATATCTTCCAATTATTTCTTTACAACACCAACAATTATATATGTGGGGAAGCATTATCTGTATGGTGGTGCCATAACATAACTCTACCCACTGTAGTTCAAATTATGGTATCCACAAATATGATAGTGTGCATACTTGGTTAGTGCAGAGATGGAAAGTTATACTTTCATTTAAAATAACTTGTATATGTATCCATGCCTCCAATATGTTCAATTTGTTGTTGCTTACATTTGTTTTTGAAGGATATATAGGGAAAATAAATTGCCTAATACACCCTATTGATAAAGCAGGGGTTTCAAAAAACAAAGGAAAACATATATATACAAGGATTCTAAAAGATCTCTCACAAAACACTTAAGAGAGCTGGACCTTGGTGGCAGGCAGATGACAATGGATCATCAACTGGTTGTAGTTATAGAGGGCAAACAAAACTCCGGTGCTTTCCCCCTAGCATATTCTTTTTTTTTTTTGCCCTTTGTAACCATATGTAATTATGCCCAAATTCAACACCGGGAGGTGACTTTGTACATTGACCCCCACTAACAGATATGAACTTCCTCCTCTTGTTTCCTTTCTTGGCTGTCGTTCGAACCAATTCCTGTTGAATTATTCTCTCCTGGAAGTTGCTGGTATTGGGCTGCTGCTTCTGTATTTGCAGTTGTTCTTGTTCCACTGTCCGAAGAATGGTCACTTCATAGATTCCACAATTAAATTTGTTAGGTTTCTACGACATGAATGGATGATCTAGAAATATTTGAGCAAACTTACTTCAGCGAATAGATGATCAATCCAATGGCCACAACTGCGAACGCTATATAGTACAGCCAGTTTATCTGTGGGTTCATGCCTGAAACATGTTAGCATACAGTGTAACACACTATAATCTCGTCCAGGTATGTGGCAGAATTTTTCACCTGTTGGTGATAGAATAAAACTCGAATGGCGACTGCCCACATGTCGGATGTTAGGAGTGAAAGGTTGAACAATGTTGATCCACTCATCTGCAGGCATAATGATCGTGAGAGATTAAGAGCTGAAGTCATATTTACTGTAAAATCATAATGAAAGGGCCTTCTGACTGATATTGATTTCTGCATCCTAGCTAGGTAATATTATCTCTTCTTCATATGATCAGGTTATTCAAGTAAATGACAACTACTGCTACAGTTTGAATTATAAGACTTTTAAGTTTGTCCTAAATTAAACTTTCAAGTTTAACCAAATTTATAAAAAAAACTTAGCACTATCTACAACACCAAATTAGTTCCATTAAATCCTCATTTGAATATATTTTTATAGTATATCTATTTTATATTAGAAATGTTGCAATATTTTTTTTATAAATATGATCAGACTAAAAGAAGTTTGACTTGGAATAAACCCAAATCGATGTATAACATGAAATGGAGGAATTACTTGATTAGACCATACTCTTTTTTTTCTGTGATCCCCTACGAATTTCCTTCCTAACTCATCCCTACTTGCGACCATTTCCTGCCTAATATGATAAAGAAACTTAACCTTAAGGACAAAAGGAGTGATGCTGTAGAACATAAATAGTGCCACTGCAAATCCTGCGAACAGACATAACTGAAAATTGCAAAAATAAAAAATAAGAATAAAAAAAGACAAAGCAAGAGTGAGTCCAACCAGTTCAAATGTATTGCATGTAAAAGAGTGTCTATCTAACTTAATTGCAACTGTAGTTTACCTACCATTGTTGGAGACCAGGCAATTGCAACTAAGTTCTTCTTTTCAAATATTAATCTAATTTTTGTTAGTTAAAGGTAACGCGATTATTTGTAAGGACAAGAGAAAATATAAAATGATGATCATGGTAGTGCAACGATTATCTGTAACAAGTAGAGTAGTGAATTGTGCTTTGTTGAAAGGATACATCTGAATTATACTGACAAGCAACCCAAAGAGTGCAAACATGGCAACAAATTCAACTCGATCTTTTTTCTTGACACAGTATTCCTACACATTTGAAGGAAGATGAAATGCTTGTTAGAAATTATGAGAAAATATCGCTGGCATCAGCAGGATATATAGGAGTACAGGAATAATGTATTGCTAACCTCACCAACATTGCTAAATGCAAAAAATATTGTCCCGGCAATGACAAGGGCATCTCCTAGAAGTGGTATTTTACTCGGATCTGCAGAAAATTAGTTTGCAGAAGTTATTCATATTCACACAAGATTTTTTATGAAATATCAGCAGTATTCATCCTACTGTTGCTAAAGAAAAGATAGCCTAGTACCTTATAGGTATTCTAGAGAAATTCAGAAGCAGATTTTAGCATGTGAGGTTCACTAAGTTACTGTCATTACTTTTTGTTCAAAAGATGAAGCACAAGTCTCGGCTCTACCTATTCTCAGAAACTTCATCTTAAATTATTTATTACATTGCTGAAATTCTAATTTTATACCCTTTTAATATGTTGGAAATGACATCCTAATATTATCAACTGTACTGAGCTTTTAAGCAGCTATTTTCCAATTACCTTGTGCATCTGCTGATTTTGAATCTGAAAGGAGCACAAGAGCAAGCCCTGCCACACAGGTCCCTGCCCCAACAATTTGCCAGAAAGAATATCTTGTGCCCAATGCATACCAGGTGAGTATGACGACCCAAACAACAGTCCAGCAATCCAACAGTGTTACGCTGGTGATGTACGAGTACTGGTACGCCTTGACGACTGCATCAGAGTTGCAGGATGACAACATGTTGAGTTATTCATCACCATTCACCAGGAGCTAGCACTAGCAAAATCACGTTTTACTATCTAACTGAACAGTTTTGGTACTATGGATTTATACAGAGCAAACTGTACTCACCAAGATAATTTCCTTGGACATCAATGAAGGCCAAGGCTAGGTACCAATACCAAGGTATCTGCAAGACAATATCCCCAATCTCAGTGGCTGCAACTGCAAGATACGAGTCGCGAGACTCACAACAGTTTCCCTTTGTCTGTGATTCTTGTGATTTGTGAACCTATGCTTACCTGCAGCTTTTGCCGTCGTTTCAAGAGGATTGGCACATAAACCAAGGTCAACAACAAGTACGCGAAGAAAGACTGCGTGAGCGGCGCATCAACCCCTGCACAAGTATATCCATGAGAATGATAATCAAATCACCAAACCGCTTTACCAGAAACTGTCCATTTTCGTGCGTGCGCGGATATCAGCGTTGAATGGAAAATTAACCAAGATGAGTGAGTGATTTGAGTGAGTACCAAGTGTGGCAATGAGGGAGGAGGTGAAGCTGGAGACGGCCATGGAGAAGGCGACGAGCTGGCCAAGGAGGAGCACGAGCAGTAGCCCCCATGCATCCTTCCCCTTGGCCTCCATGATCGTGAGCACCATCCGCGGAAGCCTCGGATCGGGCTCGATTTCAGAGGCGAGATTTTATACGGTTTGCGAAAGAGGAGGAGAAGCTTTCTCTGGAGCTTAGCAGGAGAAGAATGGAAGGTGAGTGCAGGACTGTTAGGTGGGGCTCGTGCCATTAACTAAACAAACAAAGGTTAGTTGAGCTCGAGAGCATCATGTGCATTTCTCTCTCATCTATGCACACACAGAGAGAGAAAGAGAGAGTCTCTCTCGCTGTCTCTCTCTCTCTCATTGTTGATCTGGATCTTGAAATCTTGTAATTAGCTAAGCAGCTCGTCATTTGCAATAGAATAAGTATCTTGTACCTCAATTGGCTTAAAAAGTATCTCCCCGTCTCAAATATATTTCTGAAAAAAATATATAAGATGAGGATTGAGATGAAAATTAAATAAAAAATTGTTGTGATTGTTTAGATGAGGAGGTGGGTGGAGAAATTAAATGAAAAATGATGTGATTAGTTAAGGTGAAAAAGGTACTATATTTTGATACTCCATCCTTTAATTACTTGTTGGTTTATCTTCTTTTAAGTCAAATATTCTATCTTTGACCATCAACTTTTAAAAATTTATGTAGTTTAATAATATATGAATTATATATTATGAAAAAAATTTATAGTTGTTTTATCTTTTTTTAAGTCAAATATTCTATCTTTAACCATCAACTTTTAGAAATTTATGTAGTTTAATAATATATGAATTATATATTATGAAAGTATTTCTTATAGTGAATCATTACTTCTCATATACCAAAATGTATAGATTTTTAAAAATCGATAGTTAAAGATATCAAAGTTTGATTTAGAATAAAGCGACAAGTTATTTAAAACGGAGTTTAAACTTAAGCATTAAGTTACTATATTTTAAAACAGAAGGAATATCTTACAGCGCAAACATCATGGGCCCAATCGATTCATCAGTAGGTCTCCTGTGTTGTTTTGGATTATCAGAGGCATGTTGCTACAATTAAAGACCAAATAATAGAATTGTTGCGTCAAGAGATCTATACCAGATAAAGAATACTAACAAAAACATTTCACATGGAGGCTGTCTTGTCTTGTGAGTATCAGGCTATTCAGCTTCTAATTTGATTCTTCGTGTCATACCTCCGTGGTGGGTCCGGGGGTGTAACCATGATGTGAAATGCAGCCCTGAATTAACGCAGACATAGACGTTATGCAAGTTGCAATACGGTTGACCTTTCCTGTCTCATTTCTGGGCCATCCGTTCAGGCCAATCCTCTTGGTTATCTCAAGGGAAGTCCAATTTAACTCCCTTATTATAGGTCGATCTAACTCGTATCCTCAACTATAAAACTGGGTATATCAACCTCTCCAACTACTAAATTTGGGCAAAACGATTCTCTCAGCTGTTTTGAGAGATATTTTCGCTGACACATCTACGTGACAGCCTAATCAACAAAGAAATTAAAAAATTATAGATAGACCCTACATGTAAATGAAAACCTCACTTCTTCCTTCACCACTCACCCCTCCTCTCTCTCTATCTCAAGTTACTCCCTTTATTTCATAATATAAGACACAACTATTTTTTAGATGTTTCATAATATAAGGCGTGCATGCATGCATAAAATTAACTAGCACATCTTTTCTATTAAATTATTATTATTTTAAATCATTCAATCTCTAATTCTATTAGGTGTATGCATTATATTTATTAAGGAGATCCAAATTAAGAGGTGATAATAATTGTTTCTCGATCTTTGAGTTAAGAGTGGTTATGCCAATCTTGATCTTTAGTTAAGAGTTCATAATTTGACAAAGCCATTATGCCAGTTCACTGTGCCTGGGCCATGTGGCCTGGCCCGTGCCAGGTGTGACATCAGAATGGACCAACGCCCATACAGCCCAGCCTAGTTTGGGCCTCATGGTGAAAATTGCCAATCGGCACTTTATAATGGCCCTAGAGTTTATGCCACTGCTGTCTAGGGCCTTTTTTTTTTTAGAAAATGGATTAAAATTAGGCCTCTACATCCACAATGGATACACATAGCCTAAAGTCATACTAGAGTACTTAGACCCGAATTCCTTACAATAAGGATAAAAAGTACCTAAGTGACAACACTTAAAAGAAAAAAGAGAAACATAAGACTACTACTCCAATATCCTAAGGTTCCACCCATATTTTGCATATAACTCCATGACCCTTGCCTCCAACATCTTGCAACATTCTTTCAATTTGTAGCCATTCTCTTACTTAAGCAACAAAGACCATTGACGCGCCCAATAAATCCCCTTGAAGATCACCTGTAAAAAAATAATTTTGGAGCCATTAAAGACCACATCATTTTTATTTAACGAAACCGCTTAACATCATGATGTCCAGAAAAATATTTTAGTCTATGTTGAACATCATTTAACTAACTACCAAACATATTAGCAACACTAGTGGGTGGTCGAATCACAAAAGTTATAAAAGGGTAATCCAAACACATATTACCGAATGATAATTAAAAAAAAAAGAGGTGTTGTATTTTTTCATTAGAATTACAAAAACAACATTTAATGCTACCCTCCCACTTTCTTTTTGCTAGATTGTCTTTGGTTAGAATAATCCCACTCCTTAAGTACCATAGGAAAATCTTAATTTTCAAAGGAATTCTAAGTTTCCAACTGAAAATCTTAATTTTGCTCTGAAAGGTTATCTGACACAACTTTTGACACTAGGTCATACCAAGCCACTAAATTATCCCCTACTATGGCCCTCCTAAAAGAGACATTAAGAGGCTCTGTGTTTAACACATCAGGAACAACAACATTTTTCTTCCTAACTATATTATAAAGTGACGGATATAGCTTAACAAAAGATGTGGCACCAATCCATTAGTCCTCCCAAAATCTCAACTGAATACCATTGTGAACCTCTAAGATCCACATGAGAAGAAGAACTCCTTGACAACCATAAGCCCTGACTAGAAATGAGAGTCCCCCGGTTGCTTTCAACTTGGGTAATACATTCTTAGCCAAATACTTATTCCTAAGAAAGTTCTGCCACTCACTCTTCATTAATGAGCTTATACACCCATTTACTAAATAAACACTTGTTTTCTAGGCCTAAGTTATGCATACCAATGCCCCCACACTCCTTTGGTCTACACACAACACTCCATTTAGCCAATATGGATTTTTTTATGGTCATCAAATTGCCAAAAGAATCTAGATCTATAAATAATCTAGCTTCTTGAGGATAGAATCTCAAGCATGTGTAATGACACACGGTGCATGACGCATCTTAAATCGTAGAGCCCGTGGGTTGTACTTCCTAAAAAAAAATCAACATCGTACTAGGATGTGACAACGAATCTAAATATAAAGTATGTACAGATTCGTTGTAATAGGATGTGTCATATCTTAATACAAGATTTTTTTTTCTTGATGGAGGGAGTATATACTAGTAGTATGTGTAGTATGTATCTTCATTTTTTTTAAAGTACGAATGTAAGATGCTAAGCTTGCGAGAGAATCTTGCAACAGTTTGTGTTATTCTCGTGTTATATCTTGAGAGTGGAACTGTCCATTTTGATGCTAACCTTCATTTCTTCATAAATGTGGAGAGTACGTTAACTATCGTTTGTTTTCTCTTTCAACTTGGATGTGCCAGGGTTCCAAGCAGCACTGGCCAACACACACATTACGCCATTGCAGCTGCAGTCTGCAGATGCATCCAATGCAATTTTCAGACATGTCTTTCTCAACCATGTTGCACTAGAACTGTTGTTGCCGACAAACAGTGTTTCTCCCTCTTCGCTCAGAGTTCAGGCCAAGAGCAGAGTGCACTCCTCCGTCCGTTGAAATTTTGCTCGTGCAGCCCATCGTCACATCCTGCCTCCGCGTTGAACCTCTGTGCAATCTTCTGAACATCTTGCGGCTGCCAAAAGTGTGCAACAAACAGAGGCCAGCTTGTCCCATGCAGAATCGCGAGCATTGCTCGAATTTGGGGTCAAACAGTTAGCCGGTCTATCACATTCATATCGCGTCTCCATGCAGTTCTGCACCGTAGAACTGACCATCAAATTCTTCGGTCAAGGCATAGCCGATTCAGTAGCAGGTGCACATGTCGAGCAGTAGCTATTATCGAGATATTGGTGCCCACAGCAGTATAGTACTATAGTAGTGGTAAACTGCAGGCGAAAATGTTGAACTTCCAGAGAGCTTGCAAGGCCAGGTTTCACATGATCACATCCTCGCCCAGATGATCAGATGACATAAATCACACGTCTCCCTTGCGTCTTCGTGACTTCCAGGTATAATTAAACAGGTAACACTAAACTAATAGTAATACACACGTATGACACGCCTGCAGAGTGCAGAGACTGGCTCATTTTGTTTAAGGTTTTGGGCACATCAAGGCAATTACTAAGCAGGTTTGTGTCAGTTGCGTGGCAAGTAGCAGTAAGGAAGAAAACTCGGCGTCCTAATCAGCCCATCCGTGTGATGCTGATTGTTGTGCACTAAACAAACAGTTTTTTCGTCAGGGCACATGATTCCATTTCCCAGTTCGTTGCAGCTAATTGCACGCGCCGGCGCAACGCTTATGGCGTTTACACTGTAGACTGGATATGCTTTGGAGTTGGAGACGTACTTGGATTGATTTATAATCAAATATGGAGTAATTATCTTTGTCAAGAACTTAATCATATCGCGTGGTCTGACGCAAGGTGCATATAGTACATTAATCCAGAGGGCAAGCGTGCAACGTTAATTAATTGCTCTTTGATTACTAATTCGCCGTAATCATCTGTACGTGGCAGCCTGCCGCCACCAGCTGCCGTCAAAGAACACACACGAACGCACGCCTCACTTTGGTAGGAAATTCCCAGTTGCAACGATGCCGTTTATTTGGTGGTTTTGGTGACGCTACCTGCAACCTTCTCCTCCTAAATTTTTCTCCCCTCTGAATGAATTTCACCTGTTCTTGTGTAGTGATCATTCACTTAACCGTTTCTCATTATATTGCTCTATCAACATGGCAGGTTTGGTTTGTTTAACGTTCACACATCGAGCAGGAATCAACCAGTTTCACGTCTGATGTAGACGGGGCAGATGCTATAATTGATCGAGCATATAGGGACAGCAAGACAGCAAGAGGAGCTAGCTGATTGTGCTGTGAAAGCTACAGAAGCTGATCATTGTTTGTGCCGGCCGTCCAATCGGCAGACCAAGACAAAACCAGGAGGCATATACAAA